GTGTAAGACTCCCACAATGCTGACATTTTCTCTCATGTTTGACAATGGAAACATTTTGCCCAGCAGTCATCTGCCCAATAAAAAACCTCTTCTCTGAACCAGTAGTTAAGTGTTCTAGATGCCAGCATTGAATTTAAACATCATAACAGACAAACATCGGCTACTAACAACAGATCATGCCACATCGGCTGATACTGATATTAAACCGATGCATGGTTACATCCCTACTTGTGAGCAATATGTACTATATGTGGAATAATAATAATAATAAAACCAACACGTTGTGCAGCACATGCCTTTCCATCCAGCTTTAAGTATACAACTACATGAGAACTATATTTGGCCTCAAATGCATTATATGGCCCAATTCAGCGTTTTGTATATTTAAACTGTTCTCTTTTACTTTTTTTACAGAATGCTAGAAACTTCCAAGATTTCGACTGCCAGGTGAGTTCTACTCTGCTACACTTAACACTGTGGTGCCATGGTCAGAGTATTGTATGTTGGAGTTGAAGCAGACTGGGGTATTGGGACATGGCCTCATTCTCACATCCCTACAACTAAACCCATTCATTTGTTTGCCCTATATCAAAGGCAACATCCACAAACCACATTTTAATTCATGTAGGATTTATTGTAGGTAAATCAATAAGGCCAATTGCTACACACATACTTAATTTTCTGGGGGACAGCCTTTGAATGTGCTTGGCATACACAGTCTTTTTCAGGCCAGCTTTTTCTCCAAGTTTGTCCTTTGCAGTGTGTCTGTAGAAGGAAGAGCCAAGGTCTGTTTAAAATAAGATGAAAATGTTGAATTGTTTTTTTGCTGAGGTCATTGTACTTATGAGCGGGTGAATGATTGAGAGACTGACTGAGCTTGCAGCACTACACCATTTGATCATACGACAGTACAGTGCTGAGGAGTGTGAGTTGAGAGGGGTTACACATTTGTTAGAAACACGTACTGTCTTCTTTGTTTTGTTACGGTTAACTAGCAGCTTAATTACTATTGATTACTTCATCGCTTCTCTATAGATACTGTACTATGGATAATTTGCAGGTATAGGAACAGCTATTTATGTGTGCTAATGGCCACGTAGTGATGAACAGTTCTCGCCCAAGCCTGAAGTCATACATTTAACTGCAGACTTCTCCCTTTGTCTCTCTTCTACTGCCAACCCTTTCCCTTTGACTACCACCTGCTTCCTCAGGTTCTATCAGGTGTTTTTGATACAGGTGTGTATTTAAATTGTGGTTTGTTTTGAGGTTTTTCTTTATTCGCTGTGATGAATTTAGTCTTCCCGCAGTAAAATTGTGTTTGAGTGCTTGCTTTGCCACGGGAAGATTCCGCATCATAGTCGGGTCATTTTGTGTGTTAATTTAATAATAATAATAATCATTAAAGAATAAAGGGCTATTGTGCTTGAGCAGGCGCTGTTCCAGATTTCAGTCTTTGATGGTGTCTGCCCTCTGCAGCTGTGCTGTGCAATTAGCATTTTCTTGCAAGGATCTTTCTCACTTGAGAAGGGGCTTCCTACAGACAAGCACTCTGCTGAGTTTCATGAGCCCCATTGCTGCAAAGGGTTAAACATTTCATCCCTCTCTCACTTTCTGCAGTCACGCCTTCTCCCAACATCCCACCCGAGCTAAATATAGCTGCTGCAGGCAGGGGAGGAGAGTAAAGCATGTTAGCTTGGGCAAGCATGCTACATGCTCCCAAGCGTCCTTTCCAGCCTGCATCTTGTTGCATTAATACATTAACATTTATAAACCTGTATGCATTTAGTTCATATTTTCATTGACCTTTTTTCCTCTCATCCCCTAGGGATTTGAGAACTTCTTGTGGTTTTTCTTTGAAAAGACGGGTTTTTTTTTGCCAATCTTAGTGGTATTGAAGCTGATTTGAACAGATTTGACCTTATTTAATGGCAGCCATTTTGACCTTACAGTCTAACTTTTTGAACTCTATTTGGACGTTTTCCATAAAACCAGTGCCCTTCAACAATAAAGTGAGAACTTTCAATCGATTTTGAGCACATCAAAGTGGGAAAAGAACCAACTGACAGTAGAAATGTAATGTCATTCTGAATTCCCCTGCTGCCCCTTGGATTCAGTGTCCTTGTGATGTAAATGCTGTTTCAGTGTTGTGCTCTAAAGCTCTGCTGAGACTCCTGAATATGGCAGCAGTAGTTCATATTTTGTAAGTGTAACTGTCTTGTGTAAAAGTAGCCAAGAATGTGGTGACGTTTTTCCTGAATTTATGCTCTTGGGTTCGTAGAAAATAAATGTTTAGTGTGTTTTTGTTTAACAAGCCATTTGGGCAGAAATGTGAGTAAGTTGGCTTACATGAGTTTAAGCAAGTAGCTCCTAGGCAAATTGTGATAGTAAGCTATTGTGGCACAAATAGGCTTTACATTGAAGTGTGAACTGGTGTCTTCTGCAGATTTTTCCTCTGTGGGGAATGAATATAAAATAGCGGCCATTTGTTGCTTATTCATTCTTTTTGTTTGTAAGTGAAGGACACCATGCTTGTTGAAATGAGATTCATACTTTCATTGCACCATATACTGCTGTTAGATAGTTTGATACTGCACTACAAATGAAGACCACATTGCAGCACAAGCCGGCATTAGCAGCAGACTTCCTATGAATACAGTCTGTGAGTGGGGGAGGGGTCCTCACTGCTGCACCATCACTCTGAGCAGCCAATGTGACATTCCGGCAGCTGGAGGACAAATCCAGCTGCTCCCCTTCTTATTTCCCTGCTACCAAAGCTCCCACTGCAGGCGGTACAGAGGTACTGCAGCAGTCACGTCATGCACCAGCCACCAGCAGAGCGGTGTGGATGGTGGTCCTGAGGCCGGGTGGGGAGAAGAAAACCGAGATAGAGTGGTGGTGCATTCTTGTTTTCCTTATGATGGCCTACTTATACCTCTGTGGAGCTAGGATAGGAGGAAGGCGTGAGTCAGCCTCCTCCACCCATGAGACCTGCTGTGCATACTTAAGAACACTGAGTTACTTTATGGGCATGGAAAGAGCTGACTATACATTTTAAAAATAGAACATCTTAGTGTTGGTAGCTTTTGCTGTAGAGAGCAGAAGAAAAATATTGTATCCATGTAGGTCAGCTGCACGAGGTGTTTGGTGTATTTTTTTGTGCGCTTATTGTTTCTGTTATTGAATTATTTTTTTTTTATAGTTTTTATACAGTTTTCTCAATATTGTCCGTTCATCTTTTCTTAAAAGGTTTAACATCACATTGGTAATTTGCAGTTTTGATACAATATTCTCTCTGACCTTGTTCCATGGTTAGCAAAAGGCGATTAAAACCTGCCTTAAATATACTTCAGACACATTGCTGGCAGTCATGTCTTTGGCTATTTAAATCCTCACTTTCTCATTAAGTACACCAGGGGGCGCCATACACCTGTTTAATGTGTGGCTGCAGGGCGATGTTTTCTGTGATGTGTTTTAGCGCACTGTGCTTTCCTTGTCATTGATTATCTGTTCTGAATGTCACAAAAAGTGTCTTCAGTGTCACACAGTGTTTTGAAGATTTTGCTTGTAATTAATACCATCTCAGAAAGGGGAAAACAAAAAAACATGTCATGTAGTTTATTTTAAAATGTAATACAAAATGTTATCTTGGGCTGTACATTTTTAACAACTTTAGACATGTAAAATTCAAACCTTGGGTTGTGTCTGTGTTATTGCAGGCTTTTCATTTCACTTAGCGGAGCAATAAGAAATTCACTGTGTTCCCGTATGAATCCTCAGACTGCAGAATGCTGCTGAGGTACACAATGACTCACAGTATGGCTCACAGAGACACCTGCTCTATTGAAAATGATGTGTTCAGTCACGATACAAATAATGTCCACTATAACCTAGCATGAATGACTGAACATTAGTGTGAACCATGCTATTAGTCCTGTTCTCACCACAAGTTGGCTTAAATTGAATTTTTTAACTCTCTTGTTGCACCATACCGTACAGATTATAGGTTATGTCTGCATTATGTTTAAAAAAAAAAAAAATGTAAGTGTTATATCTCTATACAATGTGTACACACTACATGTGTGTCAGTGGTAGAGAAGAAACAGCAGTTATCAACCAAACATGCTGCCACATTGACTAGCCAATGAAGTAACCCTTCTCTTTTTAATCCCCCTCTCTGTACTGTTTGCACCAATTCCATTGGCTGCAAAGAGCAGCTTTCTCTATAGGCGTGTCACTTTACACTGGTATGACTGGGGAGAGTAGAAAGGAGAAATCAATAAACTTCATGGATCATATAACTCTAAAGCACATTTAGAGGAAATGGATCTTCTCGTGTATGGTTGTGAATGGGGACTCAAAATAGCAGATAGTTGTGGGTTCATTGAACAGAGTCTGGGTTATCAGGGTTAGAAACATCAGTGATGAAATGAATGCTTGAAAGCAGATTTCTATTTTTAAGTGATATTGCAGTATGAATGAGTTGTTAATGTGTTAACCATTAAAGCTAGTCCGGATGTTTGACTCAGTCTTCAACTGGATGGCTTTAAGAAAGTCTTTTTATATATATTCAAGAGGAGACAATGCTTATTTGGATGCTGAATTGGATCACATTCTGAAGTGAATAAGGGGAGATTTTTGGTAAATATCAGTGATAAGCAGCCATTTTGCTGATGCAGAACACAGAGCTGTTAAAGTCAGTCTCCTCAGCTCTCCTCTCCTCTAACTTAATCAGTATCACCGTGTGACGTCAGCAGCCTGCCATTTTTCCAGGTCTGCCTCAGCATCCTTTGCACCCCATCACCCCTCTTCCACACAACCCATCCCTTCCTCACTCCCGCTACCCCCCTCCTTTTCCCTCTTCCTCTGCAAGCCCCACCCTCTGCTTCTACCCACCTGACCCTCTGCGATCCAATTAGAGCAGCGGTGACTGGATGTATGGACGCGCTGTGACTACCAAGCACAAACTGCAGTCTCACTCTCCTCCCCCTCTGTCTCTTATCCTGCTCTATTTCCCACCTCTTGTCTCTTGTCTCTCTCTTATTCTCTCTGCATTTTATCCACCCCTCCTCCTCTGCTTTCATTCAGATAATTTTCCCATCTCCTGCTCACTCCCTCTGCTGTGTCTTTCTCCTCCCTCTCCTCTTCTCCGTTGTTGCTGCTGCTCTAGCTGCCTCACCCTACATCCCTCCCTTCCTACCAACGCTCCCCCCTCCTCCTCCTTTTGGAGATCTTCAAATCCGACCAGCACACACTTGCTCATAGCATAACACACTCCTCTCCTGCGTGGGAAAAACATGTCAGCTATTCTGGACCTGGACCAGATTGCATGCTCTGGGAATGGAGTGGTGAGTGACAAATGTGTGTTGCCTGCCTTGACACACCTTGCTGGGTCCTTGCAGCAGGGGGTTCTGGTTAGGGGGGAGGTTGCTGTGCGGTTCCCCAAAGACAGGGCGACAGCAGCTGGCTCTAGGAAGGGTAAAGCTGGTGGGGGTTTGTTCCTGGATAGCATGTCACCACCTTTAGCAAACGACTGAGAGACTCTGGCTTTTTTTTCTCTCTGCAGCTGCTGGTTTGGGGTGGACATTTGTTCAGTGTGTGTGTGTGTCTGTGTGTGTGTGTGTGTGTGTGTGTGTGTGTGTGTGTGTGGCTACAGGTCATGCAGTGCCTATGTGCAGTTCACACAGCCTTCTCATGCTCAGGGTTCCGTTGTCCGTAAAATGTTGTGATGTGAAAAATGCATTTGTATTTTGTATTGTGTTGTGTGCCTGTCAGTATGTGTGTGTCCATAAGTAGGATGATTGGTATTTGTGTGTTTCGGATTGCATGTTTCTGCATCTCTCAGTGAGTATTTTTGTGTCAACCCATATCTGCAGAGATGCGTGTGTTCCTGGTGAACTGCTCTATCTCTAACTGGTGCATAGTGCATTGTGTTACTTACAATTCAGTTCATAGTCAGGGAGGTCACTCACCCCCACACACTCTAGCAACAACACACCAAATCCACTGTAGCGGCTCCTTCCCTCCCCTGCAGAGACCTTGAGTTTGTATTTTGAGCACCCTGCTTTGATGACACACATGCACTGTGCTGCAGGTGGGGAGGGCTGTGTTTGTGTGAAAAAAGGGCAGGGTGGCACCTGAGATGATACCACTGAACACATGGATGTGTGTATGAGTACTATGTATGCATATGTTTAACTGTGTACACTGAAGTCATTTAGAGAAGGCTCGGTGTTTCTGCCCCGTAATGCTGCTCTGAGAAATGATTGATGCCGTTCCTGGCAGGGCGGGGAAACACAGAGGGGAGGGGGGAGGGATTGATAAGAGAGTAATTGCAGGAATATGAACAGCATGACTTACTGCTCACCCATGCCTCCTGAAGCGCCTCTTCTCAAAACACAAACCCCATCTCAGTATTCCTGTCCCACACACACCCGCAACACATAATCTTTGTCCAACCACTGGCCCCCAGGAATATATTAGATGGAGAAAAGGGCTGCTGCCATTGCAGTGTTCCCCTTTTGCTCCCCATAGAGATGTTCTGGCTTGCAGCCCCAGCCCATGTCTGTTTTCCCAAGAAAACTGACATTCACACAATGAGTATAAATTTATACGAATGAGTATAAATTGAGCATATATATATATATGCTCAATTTATACTCATTCGTGTGTGAAAGAAAACTGCAAGAGGCGGAGCTCCAAGATCAATATAGTTTTAAACCTTGCCAAGAGCCAAATGGATAGATAAAAGGTCCTCTCCTTCACTGCCTTTCCACAGCCATTTTCTCCATTATGTTCCATCCGTGTCTGTACCAGGACATGGCTGGAAAGACATGATAAATTTAGGCGCTGCACCCCCTTCTGTTTTAAGGCACAGCCTTCTGTTAGTCATACAGGACTCCCCTAGTCATTGCTATCTTTTCTCCTGTCTCCGTCACTCTGTTCTTGTTGTTTTCACACTCTATTTCATCCCATCCACTTCCAGACTCTTTCTGTCTGTCTCTGTTATCTATCTCATCTTCATTCTGTTTTCCCATTATGTTCCCATTGCCATTTTATTTGTGTATATATCATATATATATACACACACACACACACACACACACACACACACACACACACACACACACACACACACACACACACACACACACATACGCTCATGCTCCATGGGCATTGCACCCACATGACGGACGTGAACAAGTGTGTTTCCTAGTTCTTGGAGCAAAGTATTTCCTACACCGAGTGTCCTTGACTCTGTCCTTGTCTAAAAACGAATATTATGCAGCAATACAGCCATGAAGAGTTTCCTGTTTGTCCATAACAGGTTGTTCTGCCGCCCAGCACCAGGCGAAGGTTGCAGGATCATTATCTGTAGAAAGGCATGTGATGAGTGCAGGGCTACTTGTCAACAGGAGTCTTTCTTCAAGGTTTATTCCATCTCAGGAAAGGAGGTTATAGTTACTATCAGTATCTTGTAGCACACAGTCATTCAGGGTGGCGTTGTGTTGCTTTGTTTGCGACAGGCTCATCGTTGTACCCACTCCAACACAAAACAAAGTTATCTCATTCCATTTTCTGGCACTTTTCTTGTGCAGCTGTGTCCATTACTGATTTTAGATGAAAATAACTGCAGCGTTGTCCTTGAGAATTAACCTTCATCTCCTCTACAAAGATTGTGAAACGTTTCCATCAGCCACATGCCTGCAGTGGGAGCTCAGGAGGGGAAACAGCAGCATGAGCAGTCAGAGTCGCACTACCTCCGTGTCTGTCAGCCATAACCTGTGTGTCTCGTACGCCCAGGCTCAGTCTTTTTATTATTGATGACCAGTGGGCCTTGAGACCTGGCGAGTGCTGTGCCCCGCCCGCTGCTCCTGCTCAGAGCAGTCCACACACATACACACACACACACACACACATACTAATACACGCACACACATGTAGCTTTGTCATGAACACCCTTGCATGCTGCACCATGTCATGCTGACCTTGAGAGGTGCTTGTGTTGTGTTTGTTTTTGTATACTAATCAAAAGGATGTTCTGATTCTGAGAAAAGTCTAGAAATTATATTTGTCACTTCCTGTATATTTTATTACTCTCAGTTATGTCACTTCCTACACTTTTCCAAATCACATTTTTCCCATTTGTGACTTGATTGTTTTGCTGTTTTAAAGCGGACACAGTTAAGTCAAGAGGGGACATCTGAAATGTCCCAGTAAGCTATTCAGCGTTTTTCATATAGAAGCAGTTTGAACTACTATTGTAGGGTATCGTCATGGCAATAGAGAAAGATTTTCATAAGAGAGCCTCAGAACGAATGAGGCTTGAGTGAGTGCTTAGAATTTAAATGGGCCTTTCTGCGATACATTCTGTTTTGCCGAGTCATACTTGTGAATTTGCTGTGAGATCCAGACTGTTAGATTAAAAGACAATTGTCCTGATTGAAAAGCTTGTTTCTAAGACAGCCCATTCATTGCTTTGTATGTGAGAGGGGTCAGTGAAGCAGATCTTTATGCCTCGCATCCTTAATCTAGGATAGACACCACAAATGTTATGTTAGGTAAATGGTTGTTAACCTTCAGTTTATTTGTTAATACTTGTACCCGTATACTTTTTTTTTTTTTAAACCTATTTTGCTGCTTGTTCTTATCTTTGTTTCACCTTAAATTTGGAGTATATTTCGTTGACACTTTATTTTGTCTGTATTCACTTTGTCTCTCAGTATACACAAATTGCACCATTTAGCTGAAACAGTTACAAGTTTCTAGCTGTTTTGGGGAAACACATGGATAATCTCCTGCTTTGTGCTTAGTCCACTTATGTTTAATCAAAGAGGAAAAGGCCACACGTAATACATTTTCCCCTGCTTAATTTTGCACAGCTTGAGATTTATTGTCAAAATATTTAGTAAATGAAACAATGCTAATATCTTTGTACCCACAGCTTGATGCTCTGTAGCTTATGTCTCTGCATTGATGTCGAAAATGTTTCCAAGTACTTGACAGAGCCTCACCATTACTTTTGATAACATTAAGTTTGCTGAAGTTAAGTTGAACATAATTGAAGTTTTATAGTGTGAAACAGCAACTGCACATTGATGGACGTTACTGAGTGTGCTCAAGGATGCAAGTCCCTGGTTTTATGTCTTTGCTAGTTCAACCAGATTAAAGTAACAAATGACAATGATAAGGTTTGTGGCAATTAAGAAATGAGTCACCCATATGCCACTGTATGGCTCCTCCATGGTTTTTCTGTGTGTTTGGCCCAATCACAATCTCACAAAATAGGAGGCCTGCCCCCCTTTGATGTGCTTGAGGGCTCAGGCCTGTCCCAGTTTCAAATCATGAAGTACATAAGGGCCCTAAAGCGGCCTTTTTAATGCAAAGTCATGCCCTTGCTATGAAATGAATTAAATATGCTTGTCCTGCCCAACACTTACTGACCAAGAACCAAATTTAGACCATGTTGGGAAGAAATCTGCAAGAGAAAGTTAAGTTGTAAGTAAGAACATCTACGTAGTCCAGTTTTTTCATATCATCATCATTTTCTTGGCTTCTAGTAGTTAATCTAAAATATATAACCGCTTTAATAATATCACAACCACAACCACACTCTGTAACCACAAATACAGGACAGTGTTTTTTTCCCTATTGGTGATGCATTATTTACCGGACACTTGTGATGTCATGTTTGTGAGATTCAAGCTTCCCCCATTAACACACAAACATTAAGCACTACAGGCCTTTTGTGAATTTATACCATAAGGGTTTAGTGTTAGGTCTTTGGGTGGAGACTGGGGTTTGGCCAATGCGAGTGTTTTTTTAATGATATTGGTGTTATCAGGATTTAGCTACAGCACAAAGACAGAAACGTTGCCATTATTATCATTGGAATGTAACAGTATGAGCCATGCCACTCAAACAAATCCAGTGTGACATAAAAAAAGAGATATACTGTATAATGACTTTTGTTTAACCCTTTCTCTTCCATGACTCTTGTATTTTTACATCACTTTTAAACGTTACTTTTTTTCTCTGTTGCTGCAGGAGCATGACATTGAGACCCCCCACGGCGTCCTCCATGTGACTATGCGAGGTGTTCCCAAGGGCAACAGGCCTGTCATCCTCACCTATCATGACATCGGACTCAACCGTGAGTCAGCTAAAAATAAATATTCACAGTATTCCTGCGCCTAACATTTACACCCTGTAAAGCTGTCACTCCTGAACCTTCATATTATTGGTGTATCCTCTATTTTTACCTTTCCAGACAAGTCGTGCTTCAACACCCTGTTCAACTATGAGGACATGCAGGAGATTACGCAGCACTTCGCCGTAGTCCACGTGGACGCGCCTGGCCAGCAGGAGGGCGCACCTCCATTTCCCAGCAGGTGAGCGTTATACTGGTTTCACACATAGTGATAAATGAAAACACATTTTATTCATTGCTGATGGAGGAGCTACGTTAAATTATTTTATCTTGACTGAAGTACACTGTTAGTTAATTTTCTAATGAGACTACATTTATTCTGAGCAACAAGGACAGGTGGTGGTTCTATCCCAGCTCCTGCAGTTCATGTGTCGAAGTGTCCTTGTACAAGACACTAAACCCCAAATTGCATAGCCAGCAGCGTGTGAATGGGAATCGTTTATACTGACGGTCCCTGTACATAGCATCATGCTATCATTGTATGAATATGTGAATGTGATGTGTAGTGTAAAGCGCTTTCAGAGGTCAGAAGACAAGAAAGTACATAAGTACAGTCCATTTATTATTCTGCCAGCTTTAATCAACTTTTTTTTAGAAACTCAGTTTATCTAACGGACATAAAGAAGTGGACCTGTATTACTCACATAGACTTGAATGTGTTTTTTTTTTTTATCTTCCTCCAGTTATCGCTACCCAACCATGGATGAGTTAGCTGAAATGCTGCCCTCTGTGATGACTCAGCTCAAGTGAGTCACTCTCCTGCCAATAGCTAATCAATGACACTATGCATACATTGACTGTTCATCTCCAGTCTTACAGTAACTGATGGTTTCTCTGCAGGGTCAACAGCGTGATCGGCATAGGCGTTGGAGCCGGAGCATACATCCTCAGCCGCTTTGCAGTGAGTATTAATCATTCACACTGTCTATATTTTTAACTCCAATTGGTAATGTTAAGCTTGCCTTTGTTCTCCTCTGTCTCGACTGTCATGATTGACAGACCTCGCAGCTTGTTACACTGACCATTTAAACCTCTCACCAAGCCCACACAGGGCCAGGGCACACATTTCTATACAGTCTGCTGGGTATAAACTGCCATACCCCAGAAGATGAATCATCTCACTGGTTCTCTTCTTTTCAGTAGCTTTTTGTCTTGTTTAAAGACACTTAACATCGCAGAGCTAAAATAAGATCTGTGTACAGTAGAGCAGAAAAAGCCAGAAGTGACAGAGAGCGAGGGAGCACAGAAATATGAATAATGAAAAGAGAGGAAGGTGGTCATGGTAAAAAAAAAAAAAAAAAGAATGTGGGGGGGTTTAGAAATTGTAATGCAGGGCTCGCTACAGAGTGTCTGCTTCTGTTTAGAATTATGCAAGAAAATTGATTCAGAAATGCATTTGCTTAACTGGGCTGGGGGGTAAATTGTGTTTACCCTTGATAGATTTATAGCAGCTGTTGCTGCATTGCATTTGCATCATGGTGAAGGCAGCATCCGCAATGCTCCAATAGTATCAGGCGAGATGGATCTTAGATTTCCCCAGACAGCCTCTCTCTGTCTTTAGGCAATTCCAAAACCGCACATCCTAATTTAGACGCCCAGAATTCCATCTTCTTTGTGTCATGTCTTCCGTCAGACATTTAGATATGCTTCACTGTTTTTGATGTTGTACAAAACTGCTGTGAGGTTGTACTGTGTCTGTTTTTGTTGAGAGGATACACATATATTAATGCATGCCTTTAGTTTTACCATTGTAGAGATGAAGCGAAGTATATTTTTAAGATTCCTTTAGCTAACTGGATGAATGGACCCTTACAAGACTAAAACAAACTGGCTTGCAAAACCTGGACTTTCTGCAAGCTGCAGCATAAATAATGCAGGATTGCTCGCATGTATCACTGTGTTCGTCAAAAGTCACATTTTTTAATTTGGCACTGACATGCTTCCCTCTTTTCCCAGCTGAACAACCCCACCCTGGTGGAGGGACTGGTTCTGATCAATGTGGACCCATGTGCTGAAGGCTGGATCGACTGGGCAGCTTCAAAGGTCAGTATTATTAATGAACTATAAACCTCAGTTCACTCTTCAATACACAAACTAAGTTAATTTATACTTCAATGATATACCAGCTAATTTACTTCCTTTTTAATGTTCCTGAATGCAGTTTAACCTCCTTCATTTTTGTCATCTATCCTAGCCATAATCTGTTTAGCTCAGTTTTTCATATACTTTATCTCCAGACTTACATTTTTCTGTTTTATATCATGCATAATAACGTTGGATTGCCTACTATTTATTACTCGAATATATTCAAATGATTTATCATCTGGCTAGAAGTGACTCAAGTCATTGATAGTTAAACCTACTAATAAATGCAATACCTGTTAAACCATACACTTCATGTAGAACTAGACATACTAGCTTTATGAAGAATAACCATGAGGTTTCTAAGAAGATAAAAGTCAGCTCTTGTCTCTGATCTGTCTCCTCATGTTGTGTGCAGCTCTCTGGATGGACCAGTGATTTGGTGGATATCGTTATGTCCCACCACTTCAGCACTGTGAGTTCCTCTTGCAGTAAATTTCTACTCTGGGCTTCTCTAAGGGTTGTAAAGCTTTTTCATTGAGAGTCTGAAACAGTTACTGAACCTCAGAAGGCTTTTCTTGATTTCCCTAGACAACGTCAGTCCATTTTGCTCCTCTAGCAGACTTTAACTAATTAATCTCTTCCTGTCCTCCTGGATGCTGAGACTTACAGGCAATGCTGAAGCTTATCATACTATCTATAATCCTGTCTGGAAGATTGTGTACATTTCATGTGTGCTACTTACAGACCCTTTGTCTGCTGTATTTCTTCTTTTTGTTTTACTCTGCTCTGTTCAACAGGATGAGCTATCAGACAACATGGAGCTGATCCAGACTTATCGCCTCCACATTGCACAAGACATCAACCAGGACAACCTTGCTCTCTTCTGTGGCTCCTACCAATAGTATGATGCAGCACATTAGTACACCATGTCTTCTTAATTTTAGTAAGCCAGATGACTTTACTAATAAAATAGTTCTATCTGACTAATAATGGTTTGTTTTCTGGTACCAGCCGTCGGGATCTGGAGATCGAGAGGCCAGTCGTGGGTCTCAATGAGGACACGGTGAACACACTAACGTATGTTCTGAGAGTAAGATATCATAAAATTCTGTGTGTGTGATGTTCTGTAGATATTTACTTCTCGTCTTTACAGGTGCCCCGCTCTGCTGGTGGTTGGTGACACAGCACCTGCTGTCGAGGCAGTGGTGAGTTACACTCCATTATCAAAGTAATCTGAAAAGCTTTGGGAAGTAGAGCCTGTTATTCCTCTTGTCTGAGTGCAGAAATAAACTGGCAGTGATGTTTCAGGTGGAGTGCAATTCCAGGTTAAATCCAACCAAGACTACACTTTTAAAGGTAGAGCTTTTGATAATGCATTTCCTAGTTTGGGGATATATGATTTTTTTTTTTTTTTAATTTTTTTCACTGTACACAAATGTCTTAACAAGACTGATGATTGTCTTTCAGATGGCTGATTGTGGAGGCTTGCCCCAAGTTGTGCAGGTTGGTCTTTAGGTTGTTGAAACATAGACATCCATGTTTTCTTAAGATTGTTTTACTTATTATCTTCTTACATGTACCCTTCATCTGTTCACAGCCTGGAAAACTTGCTGAGGCCTTCAAGTACTTTGTTCAGGGAATGGGCTACAGTAAGTAAACATGCTCCTTTATTTTTGCTACTTATGATAACATGAAAGAAAATACCTAGATAAAATGATACTGGTTCGAACTAGCCTGTCATGTGAAAAGCTACACTAACACTTTCAGGGTTGACGTGTTTGTGGTCAAGGTTTTTGTTCTTCTCTGAATTTCCTGTTGACGTGAGTGCAATGATAAAGGTTACTTTAAAAAAGGATTGTTTTTCATGCGGCCAACAGTGCACAAACCAACACAGTTTTTTGTCCGCTTGGTCCTGGTGAGGCAGCCTGAGCAGCTCAGTAATGCTAACACATTTTTCTCTCTGCTCTTTGCAGTTTGTGGTCCCCAAAACCCTCAGTAGGTGAGGTGGTAGTGCTTTTAGCATGACCAAAATGACAGTGGCACTGAACATATATTCACTTCCTGTTCAGTTTCAGAGTGGGCTTAAAAGAATACCCTGTTTTTCTTTTTGCCTGGTGTGCTTTTCTTTTCAATCCAGAACTGTTTAAAATGCGGTCTCTTTCAAGAGAGACTCAAAGTGCATACTTAAACAGGCCTTCAGGTTTTCCACAGTCATTCATCTACAAAGAAAAGATATCAAATATTTCGATCAGATTCCGCTGAATTACTCTGCATCAACCACACTCTACTCACTAGATGGATGATGCCATTATTATAGGTTTGATGCCCTGGCCAAACAAATGATGGCTTTCTGTGTGTTTTTGTAATGTTGTTTCCCTTCTGCTCCCTCCTGATCCCAAACTCTGCACCACGGGAGGCTCTCCCGGGTGCAGCTAGTGTGTCGGTGCTTCAGTGTTGCCTTAAAGGCCAGCGAGTCCCCCTGTTGAGTAAATGCCACTGCAGGATTAGAACAGATTAAAACGAGTGCTTTCATGCAGAGAAAGTGTTGAAAATAAATCTTAACACCTCAGCATGTTTCTGAAAGCTGCTTTTCCCTCATTAACACATCTCCACTGTGAGAATTGCAATTGAGAAAGAGCCAAAAAAAAGTACATGAAGTAAAGATTTTAGTTTGCACACTTGCAATGATTTCTTACCTGTTGTTGAAAAGCAAAAAGCAGTTTGTCTTCGCTGACCAGCAAGTTGCAACACAGCCTCACTTTAAAGCAGAATTACTCTAAGGTGGGATGACGCAACAAACGAGCTCCCTCTACATAACGTCTCCCTTTTTCCACTTTCTTTCCTTCTTTAATCATTGCTCACAGTTCCCTACGTTCTTCTCAGTCACCTGAGCAACGAATCAGGTACCAGGTTCTTGAGCAGCTGCCAGGCTAGATGGCTATAAACCCATTGGCCTTTTAGCACTTGAATGTCAATGTATGCAGAAATTCTCCAGTCGTTGTTCCAGAATTGTATTCAACAGACGCTCAGTGTAGTTGATAGTCACACACAGTGAGATTCTGCATACTTTGACACATTCATCTTCATGAAGGAGTTGAGTTTATCCTGTTAGCATGGATTCTGTCCTCAGTTTCCTATTATTTTGCATGACCCTCTGCTGTTACTTTCTGTCTGTAGAATTAGATTGCGAATGCTGTATCCTCCTTTTGTATTAGCTCTATATTTGCTTGTTTGTTTGGTTTCTTCACATGAAGCAATTTTCTGTTACACATTTCCTTTTTATTTGATTTGAATCCACATTTGAGAATTGCTTGCATGGTAAGCGTTTTTGTTGTTGTATCTGAGTGTTCCCACACTGCACTGGCTCTCTGTTCTGTGTGAGTGGAATATTAATGCCTTTCTCTTTTCAGTGCCGACAGCAGGAATGACTCGTCTGGCTCGCTCCCGCACCACCTCCTCCTCCAGCATCACCTCCATGGACAGCAGTCGCAGCCGCAACAACCTCAACAGCTATCTGGAGGGTAGTGCAACTGGGGCCCTGGACAGCCAGACCGGACCCCAGACCATGGAGGTCTCCTGCTAAACCACATCCCCACCCCACAACTGTATGCACACTCCCATAGTAACTTGTGAACCCTATTACCCAATGTTTTTCTCTTTCTCTCTCTCTCTGTATCTCTCTCTCTCTCACTCCCTGCCTCCCTCGCTCTCTTTCTCTCTCTCTCTCTCTCTCTCTTACTCTCTTTCTCTCTCTCTCCCCCCTTTCTCTCTCTCTCTCTCTCTCCCCCCTTTCTCTCTCTCTCTCTGTCTCTCTTATCCTGCTCCTAAGCAATTCAATGATAGGAGGATCTGTATGAACTATGTGATTAGAAAAGAGGATGTTATAAATATATTAACAGATGCATATTATTGAATATAAAATATTGAATACACTGTCAAAGTCACATTCCTACCAGGGACTACATTCAGATGTGCTGTATATTCAGATGGTCATGCTATAAGATTGACTCAGCCGTTCCACCTCACCACCCTTGTATTTATTTTTTCCAAATTGTCTTTGTTTTAAATGTCCTCACAAACTGTAATGTCTCCCAAGTGTTCTAAGTAACCCTTTTTCATTGCACTGTTCATCACAATTGCTTCTTCTTTTTTTACTTATACCTCCTCTAGTGTTGATTGTGAGTCACTGTATCTTTGTGTTTAATCTCCAACTTGCTGCAATGTGAGGCTGAATTAGTCACAAAGTATACAGAGGGATCACTGAATCTACTGTAGCAGCAGAAATCAAGGTAAAGTGATGTGGCTGATAGACAATGGAAGAACCATTGCAGACTGTAGCAAACTGCCACTAAAACTAGATCAAAGCTGCGGGAACATTGAATTAAGAAACATTCATTGTGAATGTAAAGTCATCTACTAAGTGTGTCAGCCCTATCATTATATTTTTGATTGTTATTGTATCTGAACTCATATCAGTTTCCTTGTTAGTTTTGCTGTTTTTGTCCAGTTGAATTTATTCATTTATGTTTGAACAACTTTTAACAAGGGGGATCTGATGTAAGAAATAGGAGACCCCTCACTGAGGTGCCCTCTAATGCTTCTCACAGTCTGCTGATTCAATTCATTTATATTACTACTTAATAAAGCTTCAACATGACAACATGCCTGATGTATTCAATCACTTCAACATTATACACAATTTTGCCTTTTTTTTTTTGCATGTGAATAACAGGTGTGGTTCAGTCATTTGAATGAAATAAACAGAAGGTAAAGAACTGAATGTCTGCAGTGCTAAGAGTGCTTGTACTTTTCCTCTTCTGTCAGTGGAAAAGTGCGGTGACTGAGGTGAGTTCGTTTCCAACCGCGCTTGTTCTTATTTTTAACAATTCAGTTGTCACATAAACCAGTCTTTGTTCAGCACACAACTGAAAAAACAAATATCCTCTGCAGTGCAAATGAGATGAGATGACTGACTTCAGATTAATAGTTTTATTGGAGGGAAATGCAACATTTGACATGATTTTTATATCACTCACTGACACTTCTTCAACTATGCTGGATTCTCTATAGTGCTGCTTGACAATTTACTGAAGTTGATGACAGAAATGAATTTCTCACAAATTACAACATCTGTACAGTCTAATGCAAAACTCTGTAAAGGCTGTGTCATAACTTCTGACTTAATATGTAAGAGTGGTTGATCTAACGTTGGAAGATGATGCTCTTATTAGCTGTTGTATTTTATTCCAATCCATTTTTAGTTGCAGAGTACATTATAAATGGGGAATGTGCATCATTTAGTGGACCTACTTGAAATTAACATCTGAAAAAGATTTCCCTCTTTGGCATGTTAGCGTTCTAAATTTGATAAAAGTGTTCTTTCCACATAATTAACTTGCAGTTTTCAGTGATTACAGCAGATATATCTGTCCTGTTCCGGCAAAGATTCTCTTATTATTTCCATATGTGGTAGAGTAGTTTGCCGCTGTAGAAGCTCACAGTAAATCTGATTAAAGACTGGAACAAGAAAAAAACCTAACGATTATCAGTGTGTTGTCATTATCTGTGATGTGAATGTCTGAAACCAGCTCTACCATCACTGATGTACAAAATGAAGATGTTTATCTCCAGGCAGTGCAGTTTCCACAAAAACACTTCAACCTAAAATCGAAAGTGTTCCTTTTTTTTAAACTTTCTTTTTCACAACCAAATGACATCTCTACTTGTTAAAAGACATTGCAATATCAGCATGATGGATGAACGAGCAGGAGTAGGCTGGCAGAGGAACTTTTATCATGTTCCATCCAAGCTTTTACCATTATCTGATGTGAGCATTATTGACATCATTTAAATATCAATAACTGAGTGTAATGGGAGCACTGGACTAACAAGATAAATGTGTCAGGAGGAAGGTTTTTCATTAACAAACATCACGGTTCAGCTGCAAAATCCAAAGAACAGAGTTATTTATATATACATATATAAAGGGTGAGCAGTAACTACTGGACTTACAAAAGCTCCCTGCTTCAACCCACCACGTTACACCACCAGGTGAACAAATGTGTTGTACGTAAATTCTGCTCATGGTGACCCACAACTCATTCTATAAACAAGTGAAGTACTGTAAGCTCCACTTGAAAACATTCTGCATCATAGAGGTCAACACAAACTGCAATAAGTCAGGATTGTCGAAGTGTTGAACGTCACAGGAAGCTGCAGCAGCGTGACACGCCATGCAGGAAACCACGTCTCTTCAGTCAGCCCCCATCCTCATAAAAAACAGCTGCAAAAACACGTTGGTCTTTCTGACACAGTTCACAGACATGACATGATTGATCAACAGAGTGGGAACCTGAGCTTGCACATGTACAACAGGCTTCCATGTGTATGTGTGTGAGCTGGAGACAGACAAGCATCTCCTCTTTTAATCCAGTTAAAGTTTACAAGTCAATCTGAGGAGGATCTGCCTCTCTTCTTGTGCAGAATACAATTTCTGCTCCGACATCTTTTTAAACTGAGGTTAAACAAGGTGAGTTTCGTTCTTCTTCTATGTTAACTAGTTACTTGTAATTGATTAAATGTCAATAAATTTTACTCAGGAAACATGTATTTCAGATGAATGGGGAAATCAGTTTGTAGTTAATATTTGTTCAGATTATTTTAGATGTTTCATGTGTTTCATGTGTTGCTGCTTGTACAAAACATATTCTGCAATATAAGAATACATAGCTTCTTCCTTATTTTGACACAATCACTCTTATGTATTGTTGAATATCAATCAACATGTTTGTTGGAAATTTATCACAGGATATAAATGCCTCTTGTTGTGGTTAGGCGCCTTCCTGTGTCATATAGGTGTTGTTTCCTGGTTACTAGATACATTGTGGTAGCTGCTTGCAGTTTTTATTGAAAGCTGTCATGATTTGATGCTTTGCAACTGATTGAATTCAACATGTGACGGGTTACTGAAGACAGACAATTTTCTATCTAAGCTCCTTATTTCTTGCCACAGGACGAAGCTCACATCGGAAAAAAGCCAAAGAAGATGGGGATCTGCCCCATCAGATGTCAATCCAACCTGACAGTGTTAGAAAATACACCTGAATCTTTATCACAAGGTAAACTTTACCCTGTTTAAACAAGCAAAAATAAATAAGAAGAATTCAACAAACTGAATTTAGGTGATATTCACCTCTCTCCTTCTTTCTGCAGCCATCCATGAGAGCATGATTGTATCCCTCTGTAACTACACATCCTTTGGACAGACAGAATTCACCATGTGCTTTGGGGAGCAACTGACCATCATATCACAGTACAAAACTTTCTCCAATGTTTTTATTTAGGCTGACAATAGATTCAAATTTGTAATCACGATTAATCGCAACATTTCCAATAGTTAATTGTGATGTATCGCTGGTTAGGCTTTATTTGGATTATCTTAAACTAAGAGTATTTTACCTGCTGTTTCAATTCAACCATGCTTTTAGTGAGGGACTAAAGTGAGGGACCTTCTGGTTGATTAAAGGTTAAGGCATTAACCTAACCACAGAAGAGTAGAAAAAAATGTATGAAAACAACTAAAAGGAACAGTGAAAAGGTTAAATATTTTCTCTCAGAAGGTGTTAATGACTTTTGACTCATCAACTGAGCTGTTAAGAAGTTTTTAAAGTGAATTGAAACATTCAAATATGCAACGGTGTTTTTTGTTTTCCATCACTGTGACTTCAGGAAGACACTGGAGGCTTTACACTGTGCGCCTATAGGGACAAACGAGCATGCAATTAATGGCGATTAAAAACAATTATTCAATCATTTCAGACCTACACTCAGAACTAGTTAATTCTGACAGCCCAAGTTTTAATCTAAACAAATAATTTTCCATTATTTGTGTATTTTCACCAACAGGGATGGTGATTTTATGATGGTGAGATCCTCTACCACAGGCATTGAGAGCTACATTCCCACCTGTTACACGCCAAGGTGACATGCAGGTAATCAACCGTCATAGGAACACAAGCCTCTCATCACTGTGTGAGAAAAAAGGAAAAGCAGAGGAAAGGGGGGGGGGGGGGGTCCCTGTCAGATAGGAGGAGTCTGTAGGTGATCTCTGTGCTTGGAACATTACTTCTGTTCTCTCCAGTGACGTGACATTTGTCTCTGCCAGCAAAGGTTTCAGTCCTCCTCCAGCAGGGACCCTCCTCTCATGTTGTTCCATTGGATGTGTCTTCTCTATTGCAGGTGGCTGTTCACAGGCATCAGCAGGAACAAAGCAATAGAGCTGCTTATGGAGCCTCAAAACCTGAGTGGAGCCTTTTTGATCAGAGAGTCAGAGACAACCACAGGTTTGATTTTTTTTTTTTTTGTCTGTCTCCTTTGTGAGTCACATGATAAAAAACATAAAACCAACCTGTAGCCTCAACGTAACAAATGATGGTGTGTCTTGCACAGTTTGTTTTAATGGCTTGTTCAGAATCAAGAGCCAATAGTCAATAACTGCAGCATTCATATATATTTCAGACGGTTACTCACTGTCTGTCCTGAGGAGGACCAACTCTTCGGACTGTGTAAAACACTACCGCATTTCAAACCTCCAAAATGGCTGGTTCTACATATCTCCAAGACTCACTTTTCCATCCCTGCAACATCTAGTGGAGCACTATTCAGGTTAGTACCTACTGGGGCTTTGATTCCAGTGTCTTGCCTTAACAAAATAGAGACAAACCTCAAAGAGTCATATGAAATGTTTCCCTCCCCCCAGAGTGTGAAGATGGACTGTGCTGTCGGCTCTCTGGACCGTGCTTCATCAAGGGTTTTGACAATGCTAGAGAGGCCAGGCCTGTTCCCACCGCTATCAGGAGGCCTACTTTCAACTGGAAGGACATTAGCAGGTGTGGCAGACTCTTTCTAACAGTACTTGTTCTGATAACTGCCACAAGATGTCACTCTATTGCCTACTCTTCATCAGAGAAAGGGCACCTGCTGGCCACCAGATGATTAAACAAACTGTTTTTTTTATTTATAAAATTTGGGGGGCTGATCATTTTCAGTTTTGGGTGACTTTGTATCAAAAATTTGTATCAAAAATTGATTTAGCGTTGTGTAATTAGTGATGTAGTGCTGACCTTGACTGAAAATTAGGCATGCAACACAAATATACCTACAAATAAAGGAGTGGTTGTGTCGTATTAATATGCAAAGTTGTGTGAGTGTTGAGTGGGATGTTTAAATTACCTCTGGTATTGATAATAGGCCTACTAGAAAATGTAAATTTGAAGGATGATAATTAGCTAAAAGGGCAACGGGGACAAATTCTGTACATGTTTGCAGGCCTGTTAGATTTATTCCTTCAAACAGGATATGTCGCATTGTGTCGATGGTAAAATGGGAACATTTTCAACTTTACAATCAATCAATTTAACATTGTTTTGGAAATCCTTTTCTGTCCCTTCCCCAGGTCAATGATCTTCCGGAGAAAAAGAACAGAGTCAGACAACTCTTTGGTGAGCGAGGGGCTGAGAGAGGCCATCTCCTCCTACCTCCAAATGACAGAAGTTCAAGATCATAGCTGGGACACTTGAGGAAACAGCAGATATTTTTTTCTCTCTAATTCTTAGAGAATGAACTTAGATAAGGAATCAGTAATATACTGTCCTGTCTTATCTGCAGCGTGGACAAAACCACTGGAAGAGGTCGACAACACGCCCAAATAGACTCAAAAGTAGGAAGTGACTGAAGGGCTTAGACACTACAATGTTTTAAGTTGTGACACACAATTTGTCTGCAGAAAGTGTTTGTCCCTTAAAAAGAAATTGAAAGTCAGAGAAACATTGGTTGCAGTTGCTTTAAAAAAAAAAAGAAAGAATGTATTTTAATTTATTACCTTTCATGTACATACATTGCAAAATAGCCTATGTGAACTATATTGTTATGTGATTGTTGTCATGGTTATGTTATTATTGGAATCCAATAAATATGTTGGCTAATGTTAACTTATGTGACAATGAGCAACATGTGCCAATATAACTACGTAAAAACGCTTGTGTCTTGTGCTTAAGCAGTAAGTTTAATAAACAAGAGAAAGTTAATGAAGTGAAGCCACATAATTCAGCATCACTACCAGTAGATGCCGCTTATTTACCTCCAACTATTCATCAGAGCCTTCTTCCACTTCCTGCCCGAACAGTTCAGTTCAGGAAGAAGAAATAATGGCGACGCTTTTGGGGTCCGATTCCCCTTGTATTGGAGGAAAACGAAGAAATGACAACAGCAATATCATTTCAAAGTTTACGGCCAGTAAAATTACCGGCCAGGGGTTTAGTCGAGGAACAGAGGTAAGCGATACAATGCATGAAATGAGAGTTAAAACATTAGAAAGTTGGTCGACTGAGACCCGGGACTTGCGCTCGGCGTCTAGCCTGAAATGAAGACGTTTTCGTGGGGACGGATCTCGACATGACCCCGTCAGCCTCAACAGCACAGTTAGCTTCAGCCTAATGGTCTACATTTAAACCCAAGACTTTACACTTGGAAACGGTTGATTTTGGGTTAACATAATTTGGTCATTGTGAGGACAAAAAGCCTTAGCTCTGCACAAAGTGTGTGAAGCAAGCTCCGCTTTAAATAGGTCTTTTGTTGTTAGCCCCACTGTAGCTTAGCATTGTAGGCCAGGTTAACAGAGCTGTGCACTGTAAGTTAAATGGATATCGTTGTTTGCATCCAACATGTGGGTTACAAATCACTAGAGAGTCTGTGTTTTAATATTTAGGGCGCTTTGTCATCTTATAAACGGTAGAAACTAGCCTGTGTTAGCAGCGTCAGCTAGCTGGCTAAGCTGAACAGCTCAGGTGATTACGTAACGTCAGTCAAACCACAATAACTATCGTTTCCTTAAATGGAAACACCACAACAGCTGTTTGGAGGTAATGGTAGCTGCTTTAGTTTTATTTCCTTCAACAGAAAAACATTTAAAGAATATATGTTACTTTAGAGAAAATATTATTCTGTCTATTTTTGTGATTATTACACTGATCAGAGGTGGAGCACTTAATCTAACCATTTGGCAAATTCCAACATTATATCTGCATCCAGGAGGGTTTTCTACAAAGTGGGTATTAGTATTAAGAAAGTTATGTACTGTTATCTTTGCAACACGGTTTGTTACCTGGATATGAGACCATTGTTGACACACAATCCTTCTGACATTATTAACCTGGATGAATGGATAGAAAAAGATAGTTACATCAAGATACATTTGAATTATAAGAGGGGATTTTAATTCTCACTGTCAAGTCAAAGTTTATTCCTAGAGCACATTTAAAACAACCTCAGTTGACTAAAGTTCTGTACAAGTAAAAAATAAAATATATATATAAAATGTAGAAGGATGAATCTGAACAAAAAGAGCAATATAAAACAAAACAATAAATAACATAAATAGGAGCATAATAACATTTCAAAATGTCAAACTCAACTTGTATTTAAAGTCAACACAAAGAGGTGTGTCTTAAGCATAGACTGTAAATAATAAGGTCTTAAGCAGCATCTTGAAAAGAAAAAGGCTGTCACAAGCTGTGGTTCTAAATGCTTTTTTAATGAATTGATTTTAGTAGTATTTTAATTGGATGTTAGTTATACCTCTGATTCCTCAGCTTATGATGATCATACAGTATCTGAAAAGAAAAGATTCATAGCTAAATTGGTGTAATCGTCTTCTCTCGAGCATACATGTCCAGGGCTTCACAATAAACTTAGGAGCCAGTTGGGTGGCTGTTGACTTGTATTAGAAGGAAAAGGTTTATTTTCACAGTTCTGTAGAAATAGAAAGATGGCTTGTTCCTTTTAATAAAGAAAGCTTACAACCTTTTGGTGTCTGGAGCCTTATAGTTACTTTAAAACATATTTTTTTTTGATGGTTATCTGAGAAGAGGTTTTCATACACAGTATGTGATTAAAAATCTCAGTTTTCTTGACAATATAGGCCAGATCATAAAGGGCATACATCCTTCAGCGTACATTTTGTTAATGTGCATGTGAATAATACAGACTTTCTTTAGGCTTGGCATCCACAGTGCAATCAAAAATGGACACACTGTATAGAGCAGGGGTGTCCAAACTTTTTTCTTGCGGGCCAAAATTGTCGTGTTAAAAACGCTCACGGGCCACAGGTTTTTTTTGTTTTTTTTTAATATAGTTGAAAAAATAGTAAGGCTTTGTAGATCAGAATCTAAAGAAACCCTTTAATAAAAGGAAATCAAATATTTTGATTTCTTCGTTCTACTTTATTTGTTTTTTTCTCAGAGCCTGTAATGTGGTTCATTTAGCTCAGATCATTAAATGGTTAAACAACAGTCCGCTTGTTTGCAAAAGCTTTGCATACGTTTTTTTTTCAGAGTTTACAAAAAAATGTGGAAAATAGTAAAATCTGTAGATTTAAAAAAACAACAACAACATACATGTTACTGAACATTTTCTGTTTTAGAATATTGTTCAGCCCTTGTTAACATGAAAAATAAGATAACGTGCCAATCTTAATCAATAAAATCTTCTGATTCTTCATTTGAAGTCAATCGGGCCGCAAAAAATCCCCTCAAGGGCCGCAAAAGGCCCTCGGGCCGCACTTTGGACACCCCTGGTATAGAGTGTACACCCAAACGCAACATTTTTACACCTACATAGTATGTTTTTCATAATGTACTTAATTGCCTCTGTTTTTGTGTCATAGCTCCCGGTAGGCCTACTTCAGGAGAGAGATAAACGGGCGAAGTGGCATGGCATCCCTCCTCTGCTGCAGAAGCTCTATGAGAGCAGCCATCCAAACAGTGACCTCTCCCATGCCCACAGCTTTCTTAAGGTAACCATACAACACTAGTCCTTCCAACAATGAGATAGTAGAAGTAATTGTAGTTGCCACTTGTTGCTAAGTGTTTGTCTTTGGAATCTGAGTGATTTAAATTACATCTGGACAATGGTTTCTGTCAGGTATTATCATCCCAACTCTCCATGGAGGCCATGTCTTTTGTCACAGAGGACAGGAAGACTGCTCAGGAATCCACCTTTCCCAACACACATACCTTTGACCTCTTCGGTGGAGTCGATGTACGTTTGACATTTCTAGTGCTTGATGCTCTCTAATTATCTGCCCCACAGACATTAAAGCTTTTTATCTCTGCTGAATTAGTTGTCATGTATTTCAATTCTTGACGAGACAGTTTTTTTTCTCAACTAACACGGTTCTTGTATTTTCAAGTGAGTATTTTTGTCTTGTGTTCTGCAGCTGCTTGTGGAGATCTTAATGAGACCCACATTAACTATGCAGAAGAAGAAACCCAAAAGTAAGTGGTACTCATATCATATCTATGTCTGCTTTTATCTGGAAGTTAACATGTTTTACATGACAATGTAAAGTTGTAAGTTGATCAAATGTTCTTGCAATAAACTAACTTCTGTGTTTCTGTTTCAGTGAATGATGACTTGGTCAAAGACTGCCTTAGTGTTCTCTACAACTGTTGTATATGTGTAAGTGTCCACCTATATTTTGTAGATATCATAGAGATTATGTTGTCTGAACAGGTTGGTATGAGCATGTTTTAAATAAGCTTTATGTTTTCTCTTTAAATTTAGACCGAGGGCGTCACAAAGAGTCTAGCAGCAAGGGATGACTTTGTCCTGTTTCTCTTCACCCTGATGACAAACAAGAAGACCTTCCTGCAGACAGCTACACTTATTGAAGATATTCTGGGAGTCAAAAAGGTCAGGGTTTTGCTTACATTAAATGCTCAGCAACAGCATGTTAACAGTGTTTATGGCCCTTTGACTCCTGTTGTTTCTTATGGTAAGCAAAATGAATCCCCCCCCCCCCCCCCCATTTCCCCCGCTGTCCTGTTCAGCTCGCATTTTGGACCCTGGAGGCATAAGAGAGTCTGAAAGTCCTAACATTGAACAGAAAGCATCTGCGACTAGTGTGATGTAAGGCATAGGTTCAGGAGGCAGCACAGCTTTCTATACTATAATAATAGTCCTTCACTGCCTTTTTTGTGCTTAGAATGATGAGAGAATAAAGGGCTTCAAGACGTTATCTTTCAAACTGACAGACATCTTAGTCGGTCGGCTGAGTGCAGATGCATAATTCATGGTCAAATTCTGCCATGTTATGAAGACATTGTAAGTCCTGCATGGGAAGGTCTCCCAGACACACTGTGCAACCGTCCTTCGATAACAAGTTGTTATCTGGAAAATAACTCAGAAGTTATCTCGTAGAAAAAAGGGATACTCTTCTAATTTTTCTTTTAGTTCTTGTTAAGTTGGTTGATGGCCAAGACAACTATAAGTAGTATGACTTATCCTCTTGTATTAATAGTTATGACAGATCAAGAGAGAATCTCAATTGAATTTTGGGATGCAAATCACTTCCTGTTTTAAATTGCTTTGCACAATATCTTCTGTTATCTGCAATGATTTTAGCAGCATTTTCCATTTCATATGTATTTTAAGTTGCAACATATGACATAATAACTGCGACAATGACAGTAACCTTTTGTTGAATTTTTTTTTAAAGGAAACAGTTGAAAAAAATTTTTCAAAGTGGAAAAGATTGACTCTAAATCTACAGTGTTGTTTTATTTTATATATAAATTATCTTTCTGTCAGTAAATCAATAAAAACTTGATTTTATGATAAATTAAATGCACAAGTGTTATTTTACAAAACACAAGAAAAACTACACTGCTCTCTTTTTAAACACTTTTAATGGGATGACCTGTATGAACCAAAAACAGTTTTTAAGTTCAGGAAGTGTGTGTGTTTTTTTTTTTTTACTTCTAAAAGCTTCAGGAAAATATCCTCTCTACTGTTTAGTGTGTGCTTCTAGCTTGTTAACATTTCATATGTTTGCATTTTTCAGGAAATGATTCAGTTGGATGGCATCCCCAATCTATCAGGCCTGGTCCAAAGCTTTGACCAGCAACAACTAGCCAACTTTTGCCGCATCCTATCGGTTACCATCTCAGAACCTGATGTGGGAAACGATGACAAGCACACCCTGCTGGCTAAAAATGCCCAGCAGAAACGCAATGCTAGCCCCTCACGGGCAGAGGTCAACCAGGGTAGGTTGTTTTCTGGATACAGAGGTCAAACTGACACATTTCTGCCATTTATAAGTTTTAAACTACCGCTATAATCATTATTGTTTCCAATAGTAACCCTTCTGAACATCCCCGGCTTCATTGAGCGGCTGTGCAAGCTGGCCACTAGAAAAGTGTCCGAGGCCACAGGAGCTAACTTCCTGCAGGAGCTAGAGGACTGGTACACCTGGCTAGACAACGCTCTGGTCCTGGACGCCCTCATGCAGATGGCAACAGAGGAGCCTGAACAAAGCAGTACAGGTGAGACAACAGTCCATCTAGCTGCTGTTTCCTCATACTGCTGGAATCTTACGAACTTTTCAGTTGAAATAGCTTTGCCCCCCTTTCCTTCAGAGTCATCTGATGAGAGTTCCCTTGCCACCAGTCCTCTGAGACATCGACTGCCCCAGTCCATGAAGATTGTCCATGAGATCATGTATAAAGTGGAAGTGCTGTATGTGCTTTGTGTCCTTCTTATGGGGCGACAGAGAAACCAGGTACTTCTGAGCACACGCCATGTCTTCTCTTGAGATGTAAGATGCAATGTTAGCTCCCAGCAGACTTCAAATACAGCTTTTACAGACTCCTACATTGTGTCTCCGGACAGGTCCACAAGATGCTTGCGGAGTTCCGTCTTATCCCCGGGCTGAATAACCTGTTCGACAAGCTTATCTGGAGGAAGTACACGGCTTCAAATCATGTGGTGCATGGCCAGAACGAGAACTGTGACTGTAGTCCAGTATGTACATTTAACCCTCATAGGAAACTAGCTCTTGATTATTCAATTTAACTTCTTTTTAAACTACTCAATATCTGTTTGCAGGAAATATCCTTTAAAATCCAGTTCCTTAGGCTACTTCAGAGTTTCAGCGATCATCATGAGTAAGTGACCCTAGATTGAGTTACCTTTGACGTGACCTCTGAAGTTCCGCTGTTTGACATGTTTACGCCTGTTTTTCAGGAACAAATATCTCCTGCTGAATAGCCAGGAGCTGAATGAACTCAGTGCCATTTCTATGAAGGCCAACATCCCTGAGGTGGAAGCTTTGGTAAACACAGACAGAACTCTGGTGTGTGATGGGAAGAAGGGACTCCTTACACGCATCCTCACTGTCATGAAGAGGGAGCCACCAGACTCATCCTTCAGGTCAGCTTCTCATAGGGCAAAGATTACATGCAAGTGATGAAGATATTGATATTTATTTAACTCTTGAAGACATCTATATACCCCAAAGTGAGGCAAAGCACTTGCTTTCATTTAAAAAAAAAAAAATAATAATAATAGATTTCTGAAGATTTGTCGTTGAAGTTCAGATTGTTATAGCTTTGCTGAAGCTTTCTCTGTGTTTGTAGGTTCTGGCAGGCGAGAGCAGTGGAAAGTTTTCTTCGTGGAGCCACTTCCTATGCAGACCAAATGTTCCTTCTGAAGAGAGGACTACTAGAGGTAAAAGTGCAGCCTAAGGACCTGATCACTAAGACTTGTGTGCTTTTATATGGTCGCCCATATGCTCATGCAGCCTCTCGCCCCACTGCCGCTCCCAGCTGTTTTCCCCACCAGATGTGCTCAGGTGTTTTTGGGAGCACGACACTTCTCAGTGTGATCTGGCCCTAAAGATTGTTTTTGTCATCATTCACAAAGTTATTCTGTATTGCACAGATCTGCCCTGTTTTTATTTTCTAAACTAAACGGCTGCTTCTCTCCCTCAACAGCACATCCTATTCTGTATCATAGACAGTGGCTGCACATCTCGGGATGTCTTACAGAGCTACTTTGATCTGCTTGGAGAGCTGATGAAGTTCAACATTGATGCCTTCAAAAGATTTAACAAATATGTCAACACTCCAGAGAAGGTAGATTGTACACCTATGCTTTAAAAATATCAAAATATTTTTTCTGACTTTAAGAATTCAATTTGACAGTATTTTCTCAATTTATGAGGTGAATGAATAAAAGTGTAATGATATGATTTGATCTCTCTTTTTTTTCCCCATAGTTTCAGACTTTCCTGACACAGATCAACAGTTCTCTGGTGGACTCTAACATGCTGGTACGCTGCATTGTCCTATCATTGGACCGCTTTGAGAGTCAGACTGAAGATGTTAAAGGTAAACAAGGATGGACTATTTGTACATGTAAACTAGATGGTCAACAAAAATTCCAAAGGACTTTCCTAGAATCATTAACTAGAATAATTTCTTATTTTGGGTTTTAAAATCACATATAAATGGAAGTGTTTTTTCTGTAAGAGATCATTAAGTATTAATTTGTTGTTGTGTATTTGTCCCAGTGGTGGAGGTACTTTCTGAGTGCTGCCTGCTGTCATACATGGCCAGAGTTGAGAACAGGCTGTCCTTTCTCTTCCGACTGATCAACATCATCAACGTACAAACTCTGACACAGGTCTATTCATTTTTTACGTTGTCTTATTGTCTTGGAGAAACTCACAGTTCAAGTATTAGGAATAGGCACTCACAACTTTCATTTCAATGTTCACCTTTAAGTACTTGTCGGGACTGTTTTAGATTTTTTCAGATATTGTACAATGCACTGTAAAAAAGTTAATGTTCCTTTATGTATTAAACCTGTCCCATTATTCCTGCAGGAGAATGTGAGCTGTTTAAACACCAGTTTGGTGATCTTGATGTTGGCCAGAAGAAAGGCTAAATTGCCCTTCTACCTCAATGCCCTGCGGGAGAAGGAGTATGCTGACAAGTACCCAGGCTGCCTGCTCAACAACTTCCACAATCTACTGCGCTTCTGGCAGCGCCACTACCTCAACAAGGACAAAGACAGCACCTGTCTGGAGAATGTGAGTAGCTTCCACTATATGCGCAACACAGCTGAGTAAATATGTTAACCCTACTTAGAATGAGAGTCTACTATCAAACGATCAAACAATATCTGTTATGATATCTGTCATCATACCACAGAAGAAAAAACCCTTCAAAATTTTGTGATTTCCTGCAATCAATGCTGGTGCAGGAAAAGGAGCTAAACACAAACTACTGGAGTAGTGGTGCAAAGGATCAAAGTTGATCTGTGATTTTTTAGGATTGACCCCCCCACAGTTTGTACCACAAGTGATTCGTGAATCAATGTGTAATTTATCATCCCGATATAAAACTGCCTAATCCCTGTTAGGGCAGGGCAATATATCGAGTTTTTAAGATACATTAATCAACTGTACTTTCAAATGAGATATAGGGTAAGACAATATTCTTTGTATAGGTATATTTAATGTTGTCAGTGAAAAGAGAGCATTGTTTAAGTAGTGTGTTCAGTGCTGTTGGGATCCACTGTTCAAATGTAAAAACTTTAAAAATAAATGTAAAAAATAAATTTTTCACAGACTTTCACACAGAAAACGGTTTAGTGTTGATATGTTCATTTTATAAAGTTATATAGTTAGTTACCATGAATCAAACTGCTTCAACTTTTTCTCCTCTCACTTGCACCGTGTCTGCATTCATCATGCATACACATCATCATATCTGCTGGTGGTTACAGGTGACAACAACCACAATCTTCACGTTAGCAACGTTATCACACAGCCTGCTATAGTCTGTAGCATTAAGTCTTTAGCAATCTGCATCACAAAGAGCTGAAGATACAGTTACTAAATGAGTGTTCTCTATCTGTTGTTTTAACTCACACAACATGTGCTGGAGCAGCCAGTGCACAGATACACACACACACACACACACACACACACACACATTCGCTAAATGAAGGGTGTGTGTGTTACATTTTTTTAATGTTGTCAAAGCTCATCGAAGAAAAAAATTAGAAGGGGGGGAACAAATATGTCATGTTCTTTTTCAACTTTCAAGAAGAACTTAAAGAAGCAGTTCTTATCAACATTTGATTAACTGATGTTTCTATGTGTACTCAAGCCCATTTGGTTATTCTGATACCCATTTTTCTTTTCTGGTTTCGGGTTTCTTAACTGACCTTTTTGTATGTTAAGTTTTTTGATGCTGGTAAACCGATGGTTGTAGTCTGATTGCTTTTTGCGCCTGCTTGTTTGTGTTGCTACGTGTGGTCGGGTGTGGACTGACCAACATGCATGCTCGAAGGCTCATGGTCTACCATTTTCACCTGCAGGTGCTTATAGAGCTACTAATGAGGAATTGCACTGATTACCATTGACATGCATCAGATCAGACAAGCAAAGATCTAGATAAGATAATCCTTTATTTATCCCACAACAGAGAAATTTACATTGTTACAGCAGCAAAGATTGCAAACAGAAAGTGAACACAGTACAGAAGAGAAAACAACGTCAGTACATGGAAGTACAAACAGCTTTAAGTCCAATGAGATGCATGTGATGTCAGGCAGTGCACAGAGACAACAATGTCAGCAGTTACTGGGAGCCAGTAGAGGGATATGAACAGCAGAGTTACGTGTGCTCTTTTGGGCAGTTTGAAGACCAGTAGCGCTGGTGCGTTTTGGATCATCTGAAGGGGTTTGATAGTGCATGTAGGAAGAGCTGCCAGTAGGGAGTTGCAATGTGTTTTTAGATGTATGAAATCAATCAACCATTGATTCTACCATCACTGGTAGAATATGAGCCTGGGAATACAAAGACTGTTATTTTATTTTTTTAAGCTGATTCACAGATAAGATAATAGCAAAAATCAAAAGTGAAAACTTTTTAGCAAAGAACTTTTAAAGACAAAGTGTCTTATAAATTTTTTATTGCTTACGCATAGATTAACCCCAACTGAACACTTGTGTTTGTGGATTTACAAAGTAGTAACTATAATACTTTAAAATGGTTATTGGTCTTAAAAAGACAAATATACATGTAGCACAATGAAAAAGCGGTTGTGTTCAATGTTAAAAGTTGTTGTTAACACAATTGTTAACCACTTTATTTAACTGTCTTGGTTTATTAATAAAAAATGGATCTATGGATGGCTGAGATTAGTGTGGCTGAGTCAGTCTTTGTGTAGGAGCAGCTTCAGTCACTCTCTGTAGTGCCTCTCAGCTATACAGATCAATTTTCTGCTCATTGTTTTTAACAGCCAAGAATCCCTTTCCACTTGAATTTTTGACGTTTGTTTCCATCAGCAGCAGGCAAATATTTTCAGTGAAAATCCTTTTATGCTACTAGTCCAAAAACAGACAGATAAAGCTGGTAACTTGTAGAGCATAGGAGAGCATTAAGCAGCTACAGAGCAACATGTAGTTTTAAAAGCACAGCAACATTTTCTTGGTGGCCATGACACAACTTCAAATGGCTGTTCACTTCGATCTGTGCTGGCTTAAAATGTAGCTTTATAGACAGATTCCTATTACGGACGGTTTGTGGGCGCTGCCATCGTGTGGTGGCTGCCATAACTGCGGTGGCATCTCAGAGTCTGCTGCTTCCCGTTAACTGCAACAGCAGCTTTCATAGTTAGATTTAAAAAGGTCATACAGCCCTGTGCGTGTTTGTAAGTGCCCGTCTCGTAATGTGTTGTGCACTCCCTGTTTTTTCACAAAGTTAAAATTTTTCCCAAAAAGTCATTAGTAAACTGTAAAACTCCACAGGTTCTTTCTGAAGCACTTAACGTTGTAAAAGGTAGAGTAAAAATAATATTAAAAGTAGACAGATTTTCTCTTTTTAGGACCGCTCACGTTCAAACCTGCGGCTGTACAAAGGAGAGGCCTTCGCAGCAATGGCAGCTTGTCAACTTCCGTTTTTTCCCGGATCAGTCTGTAGAATGATTTACATGTTCTGTTTTTACTTTTTCTGCAGCCCAAAGGGGCAAAAAGTCTGTGTTGGCTGTAGTATATTATATACTCCACCTTTGTATTACTGTTAGTAGGTGCAGTGTACACTGCTGTGGACGTCGATCCATGTTAACACAAGGTTATTCCCCCATAGTTTATTGGTTGATTGCCCATATATACAAGCTGCTCTAAACCCTTTCTGGTTCCCTTTTCAGAGCTCCTGTATCCCCTTCAGCTATTGGAAGGAGACGGTGTCCGTGCTGCTTGGCATAGACAGGACTTCTCTGTGTGCCATATCGAGCTACATTGATGAGCCCTTCATGGATCTGGACAGAGACCTGCTAGAAGATTGACATCCAGTGGGTTCACTGTGGGCAGGACAGGGCAGAGGATGGCAGGGAGCATGGACATCTACAGCTGACGAGGACTCCACTGCACTGAGCCATCCAGGCACTTTGTGACTGTGTTCTGGATGTTAAGACTCGCATGTTTGCTGTTGGTACCTTCGCATGGAGGCCTTCATCACTGATATGAGGGGATGTAATTCGCACTAAATTGCCATGCTCTTCTTCAAAGGAGGAGGGAGAAGCCTTTATGCCCATCCCAGATTGGCCACATCATTTAAAAGACAATAATGGGACCTTGTGAACCACACCTGCATTGGTTGTTTGCTGTAGGTGAACTTCAAATAGAGCCTTTTATATAACCTATACAAAATTCTATGGAAAAAAATATGTATGATTAAACAAAGTATATGTTAGAAAAATGAGTCTTTTCACCTGTTGACCACAGATTAAACTGTAAGTCTGACAAAGGTCATTGATGCGTCACGGGGCTGCCAGGAGTCGCCAGCCTCAACCTCCCACTACCTACACACTCTTGGCTGACTCCACGCCAATCCAAGTCCTTACCTGATGGTTGATAGAACTGGTGGTTTTGGAGTTTCTCCAGGGGTCTTAATGAACAGCATTTTTATTTTACCTTCCTGTGGGTCTATGACGTTCGGTGCTTTCTGGCTCTACTTGGCTCATTAGGATAGCTTTTGGGTTTGATGACACTTTTCCCCCATCACACAGGGCTCCTCAACAGAAACCATCCACTCTGTCGTGGTGTCAAAACGTTCACCCAGGGCCTCCTTTCTTTACCAGGTTATTTTTTTGATTGACCTTTTCTCCTGTTGAAAAAAATGGCTTTTAGCTCTGGATAAACTGTAGAATAAATGATGCACAGGTGGTGTTGTTTTTATTGTTTATTATATTTTAACACATTTGTTGATTAAAAAGGTCTTTGTAACACAGTGTATTGATGTTGTAAGAGATGGTTTAGGAAAGAATAAACTATGCAGGCACTAGTGTTAAGATACTACTTTCCTTGCTCCAGCCACACAAACCTTGTGTGTAGCCTTCTGCCCAGCAGCATCGGCGATGGACTGAAGGTTTACGACTTTCTCTGGTTTCTGCTACTTCTCAAAATCTTTGACTACAAGCTAAGAATGACAATCGTTTAATGTGATGGCTCTTTTTGCATGGCACCACTCGATCTTTACTAAAGATAAAGAAGATGCAGCTGGCACGGCTGTGTTGTTGCCTGTCCATGGCCTGAATGTGCAGCTGTTTGGGGGAAATGGAAAATGCAGACATTAACAGATTTTTGGTGTCTCGAAAATAAACAGACACAACCTGGGATAAGTACAAATGGATGAGCTACCTCATATTTTATCCTCACAGCGTACAGATCAAACCACTTCTGATGATAACTGTACAGTTTTACTCCCAGCATGTCATGGTTCATAGTTCATGTTCATGTGAATGTATAAAGGCATTTCTACAGTAGGTCCCTGATGCCATGAGTTACTAGTATTATGCCGCCTTAGGATGCAAACACAAACATCCTTTACACTTTGAAAGCCTTTTCTTTGCTTTAAAGCTAATCAACCAGAAATGTTTCCTTTCTCTTTAGCTTTCATTCAGCATGTCTTAAATCTCTTTATAGGTGTGCACATACTTTGAATAAGTTCATCTTTTGTGCTGTGCAATTCATTTAATGCAACTACACTTAACAAGTGCTTCTCTCTAACAAATTCTCAGTTTCTCTGCAGAATGCCTGAGATAATCGCAAAGGTTTCTTGATGAAATGATGTGACCAAACTCTGGGTGCTCCTGCAGTCGTGTTTTATTCTTGGAACTGATCATGTGTCATCGTTAATTATATTCCCTGTTATCACTCGAGTCATCCATCATGAAAGTCAATCATGCTATTGGTATAGAAACATGAATGTTGTGAGCACTCCTCTGAGGTGACTGTATTTACAATCTCTTAACCCTGACTTCTGTAGCTTTGTGATCCAAATGAGAGAGTGGCCCTTTTGTATGATGCACATGAGAATCTGTATGTGGTGTGATGCTCCTAGTAGGCCTTAGATTTCATTCATTTATATGTAAAGGGAATGCTGACTAATGTTATGCCCTTTGGACAAGAACATGCTGCATACATAACACATTTTGGTTTCTATTTTAGAATCCTGACATTTTGACTTCATTTATTTACGTTATGTTTTCAAAGCGGCATGATGGAGACAGCAGCCGTCCTTCACAAACATTTAAAGGTAGATTGTGTTATTCTTCTTCAGTCAAACATGTTTTACCTCACCAGGGCCGGCGGTATCAGTAGCGTTTGTTGAAAAGAACGACCACACAAGATTCTGATGGTGGCTGAAGTTCACAATGTAAAATCTTAATCTTTATTCAAGAAAACTGTTTTTTTCCCTTTTTTATTTGCAATTTGTGTTCTTGACAGATGCATAGACTTCTGCAAACTTAACTCTTAATTTCTAACCCTGGTTGACTTAACCTGTCAGAGAACAGATTAAGTTTCACATTCTATTATTACTACTTCTGTAACCAACATTCACCCTTTTGTTCTGCCTCTTATGCTTGTATTGAACTTCATTTTCCTTATTTAACAGCTGTTTGTCAGATAAATAATATAATAAATTCTTCTTTAGACCTTTTTTTGTGGGATTTCCATCTGTCAGATTTCATTCTGAAATAATAATTTAAAAAAAGAAGGTAGACATAAATAAAGGTTTTATTAGTCTTTATTTGGATCTGTCCTCACAGTTGAGCACAGCTGTTGCAGCTGGGTGACTGTGATATGTTTGGACGCAGCTTTCAGCTTCAAGACATCACTCGGCAAGCTGAAATAAAAAAGACAGAGATGTTTGTTAGCAACCACATACACAGTATCATAGAGCTACTCATGACTACACTAGAGATCACAAGAGAAGGCTACGTGAGGTCATCGTCAACAGATGATTACATCCAGCTCCTTCCAAAAATAAGTTCTTGGTATAAAGCCTGCAGTCTAATTTTAATAAATAGTTCCAAAGGTCACACTATGTGGCAGCATACTGTAACAAAATCAATTACGTATTTAGTTTACTAACCTTGTTGACTTGGTCTCGGGTGCGGACCCGCAGCTTGTTGACCTGCGTTTCAGCAACGTCAGCCCTCTCCTCTGCATCGTCAAGCTCATGCTGGAGCTTCCTGTACTTAGTGAGGTTGGAGTTCGCCTGCTCCTCCTGAAGAAAGGATGACAGAGAAATCTTCAGTCATTCTGTTCTATATATATATGAACCCCCTCCAGTGGGCCAGCTATGCTTCAGATGATCTTTCATCGCCTTAAATACTAAACTACTGATAGTGGACTCACCGCTTCTTCATTCTGTCTCTTGTAACTCTTGACCTTGGCTTGCAGCTTATCAATGAGGTCCTGTAGGCGGACCAGATTTTTCTTGTCTTCCTCAGCCTGCACAGAAAGCACAGTAAGCTCTTACTCTACTTTCAATATATATTTTTTAAATGCACAATGTACAAACAATAGTAGCTTACCTGGTAGGAGAGCTCTTTGATTCTTCTCTCAAACTTGCGTACACCCTTCTGATACTCCTGGCTCTTCTTTTGCTCAGATTCCAGTTCATTCTCAAGTTCTTTGACCTACCAGACCATTGACAAAAAGGAAGTTCATTAAAAAATATAAACGAAACAAAATGGAGAATGATAATGAGTTGACAACACATGGATTCAAATTGACACATCTCTCACCCTGGCCTCCAGTTTCTGGACCTGCTTCTTGCCGCCCTTGAGAGCGATCTGCTCAGCTTCGTCCAGACGCATCTGCAGATCCTTTATGGTCTGCTCCATGTTCTTCTTCATCCTCTCCAGATGGGAGCTAGTGTCCTGCTCCTTCTTCAGCTCCTCCGCCATCATGGCTGCCTACAAAATCAACGAATCAAAGTTAATTGTACACTCTCTTACTGGACTAGAAAGCATTTGAGCAACATCAGCAGGAAGCTGGCCAAGCTACAGTGGTCTGGAAAGCACATTTGGTAGTTTGGTCAATTAAACTAGATGTAATTACTGAAGACTGAAGGGTTAACCAGATCCACTGTCTTTTTTTTCCTATTTTTTCAATTCAAGATCTTACATCAGTGATGGCCTTTTTGGCCTTCTCCTCAGCATTGCGACACTCCTGCACTGCGTCGTCCACCTCATTTGACAGCGTGGACAGATCACTTTCCAGCTTCTTCTTATGGTTGATAAGTCCAGTGTTCTGGGATGAGGGAGAAAACACAAGCATCATCTCAGGTTGAAAATGCTAGTTCATCTTGCTATAAATATGGGTTCTCCCTTCTCCAAAACCAATCTATTTCTTGCTATGATTGAGTAAAAACTCCTATACCATCTAGCACCAGAGATTCTGTACAAAAAGGCTGTAAATTGTTCTTTTCCTGGATTCTACTAATGACCAAAATACCAAACTAGCTGAAAAACAAGATACTATCTTCGCCATTTAAGGAAAGCGAGTGCCTTACGATAATCCATATTTAAATTCTAAGTGATCCTATCATTTTAGATGCCCTGCACAGAGGTTTGAATGCATCTCTTTACCTGAGAGTGCAGGAGGTTGACTCTCTCGGTTGCCTCGAGCAGCTCATGCTCAGCGAGCTTGCGCGCGCGATCATTCTGCTCCAGCAGAGCTCTGAGCTCCTCCACCTCAGACAACAGCAGATTGTTGCGGCGCTCTGTCATTGCCACCTGCTCCTTCAGCTCCTCATTCTGGTGAACAGTGTCATCCAGCTCCAATTGAATGTCCTGGAGTTGAAGATCAGAAATGTCATTTAACATTTTAACAATGGAATTGGTCCTAATGAATCTGACATGGGTTAGGTCCGTTGGCTGGCTGCTTGATGGACACACCTTGATTTGAACTTGCAGGTTTCTCAGTAGTTTCTGGGACTCTGAAGCATGCCTGTTGGCATGGCTAAGCTGGACCTCCATCTCATTCAGGTCACATTCCATCTTCTTTTTCAGACGCACGGCCTCGTTGCGAGACTTAGCCTCTGCATTCAAGGTGGTCTGCATGGACTCCAGTGTTCTCTGGTGGTTACGGCTAGAAGATGAAGGATGTCATGGAGAGAAATTTGAAATCTCCAGTTGGCATGGGGATGTTGATAGGAAAGAATAACATGCGCTTTAAGGAGGATAGAAAGGAGAAAACAGTGAATCTCACCGAAGGGTGTCAATCTCCTCATCCTTTTCTGCCATCTTCCTGTCAACTTCAGCCTTGATCTGGTTTAGCTCCAGCTGAATGCGAAGACTTTTGCTTTCTTCATGCTCCAGAGTGCCCTGAGACACAGACACTTAGTACTTAAACATCTTTTTTGGGGTAATTTCTGCCAAAGAAAAAAAAATGGTTAAGGAAGTCAGGAAATTGCTTACTTCAACCTCCTCCAGGGCAGCTTGAATCTCGCTTTTCTCCATGTCCAGACCCTTCTTCATTTTCTCCAGCTCATGAATGGTCTTAGCTCCTTGACTGATTTGATCAGACAGGTCAGCAATCTCCTCTGGAGAAGCAGAGATTTAAAAATAGTTTATGTCTCATCTTTGTGAAATCTAATAGTTTAAATGCATCTTTCTAACTGGGTGGTCATTATGTGAGTGGTACCTTGGAGATTCTTGTTCTCCCTCTTGATGGTCTCCAAATGATCCAGGGTCTCCTCGTAGGAGTTCTTCAGTTTGAAGAGCTCTGTGCTCAGGCCACGAGACTCTTTTTGGGAGGTCTCCAGCTCTGACTGGCATTCCTCATACTTCTGTTTCCACTCTGCCATCACCTAAATGACACAATTGGACATATTCATACCATGAAGCAAAAGTTGACTTAGTCTCAACCGTAAGAAGAGACACAAAATTACTATTTTTCTTTGGACAAATTATAATGATTTCCTTTGTTGACAGCAAAGCAATGTTCTGTAAAAATTGACTGTTAATACCTTGTCAAAGTTGCGTTGCTTCTTGTCCAGGGCAGAAGCTGCCGCATTTGCACGCTCCAGGTCAATGACCAGATCCTCAATCTCGGTCAGCAGACGTTGTTTAGTCTTCTCCAAAGAGGAGCACTTTGCATTGCAAGCCTCCACGGACTCTTCCGCCTCCTGCAGACGTGTCACCACCTTCTTCCTAATGAGAAGGAGACACAGTTGGCACTCGTGTTCATAAAATCATTGTGTGCCATTTGATTCTGTGAGTTAAAAATACACATCACTCACTTGGCCTCCTCCAGCTCCTCGGTCCTCTGGATGGCATCAGTTTCATACTTTGTCCTCCACTGAGCCACCTCTGTGTTAGCCTTAGACAGAGCTCTCTGCAGCTCAGCCTTGGCCTCCTGCTCCTCATCATACTGCTCTCTCAGAAGATCACAGTCATGGCAAGATGACTGCAGCGAGTGGGCTAGGGCGCTTTTCGCCTAAAGATACCCATCAACAGTTATTCAAGCCTAAGAAAGTCTGATTTTCTGTAGATGTTGCTGCCAGTTTTGTAAAGACAAAACCATAGTCCGATACAATTAAGAAGAGCTAACCTTGCTCTCCTCCTCCAGCTGTTTCTTGAGTTCCTCAACATTCTGGCTGAAGGAGTTCTTGGCTCTCTGGAGCTGTGAGACCATGGCTTCCCGCTCTTCAAGCTTTCTGCCTAGCTCTCCTATATGGTGGGGAGAAAATGTTATCTGCAGTACTTATTGGTAAGTGTAATTTGCCGTTAAGATTTTTTTATCAGATGAATGTTCCTTACCACTCTCAGCCTGAGCTCGGGCCCTTTGGGTGTTGGTTTCGTTGAGCTGCCTCTGGAGCTCATCAACCTTGGCTTTAGACTCGTTCGTCTGGTCTTCATAGAGACGGCACGTCTTCTCAGAAATGGCCTGCAGGAAAGAGATGGAAATAAACAATTTTACAGTTAATGACCTTGTTTCGTCTTCTACAACTTTTAATCTCTGTTTGTTCATTCAATTATTTTTGATCTACCTTGCCCTTGGAGAGCTGCTCCACAGTGGAGGCAAGATCATCAGCCTCCATCTTGGCCTCGCTCCTCTCCTTCTCCAGCTTCTGCTTGACTCGCTGCAGGCTGTCGATCTGCTCGCTCAGCTCTGCAACGCTGTCGGCATGCTTCTTCCGCAAGGCTGCCGTCGTGGCCTCATGGTGCAGCATGGCTACCTCCAGGTCTCGCCGAAGCTTCAGGAAATCTGCCTCTCTCTTCTTGTTGACCTCAACCTGGGCTGAAGTAGCCCCGCCTGCCTCCTCCAGACGCTCACTCAGCTCTTCGAGTTCGCGAGCCACATCTCCACGCTGCTTCTCAACTTTTGCCCTGGAAGATCGGTCGGTCTCCAGCTCCTCCTCAAGCTCCTCCGTACGGGCCTGGATGAAAAGCAGTTGTCACTTCATTGTCAAAAACAGAGAGACTGGTTTCTAACTATAATGTCTCACAATATACTAAGAAACTAGTGTCTACCTGTAGCTCCTTGATCTTCTTGTGGAGCTGATTGACCAAAGCTTGTTCATCTTCAATACGTGAGCTTATCCCGTTAATTTCAAAGTCTTTCCTGGTATAAAAGATTTTCAAAGTTATTGTAAATGATAACTTCTAAATAGCAACACAATGTTATATCGTTTATAAAT